TTTTCACGCTTTATGTGTTGTGTAACTGTAATTGGTTAAAAGTCACATTCAACATAACCGACAGTTGACATTATTTTATATTTTATTTTTAATATAAATAAATACCGTCTATACACAAAGAAAGTCTTTGATAAAAGCCGAAAAATGACAAAAATGACATGACATAGTTTAATTTTAATAAAAAAATATCTAATGACAAAAGAATTCTATAAAACACTGTTTACATATACATATAAGATTGTAATAAACGTCATAAAAATCATTACAAAGTAATAAGGAAGAGTTGAGTTTGAGACACAATATCTTAGAGTATTACAATTATTATGATAGAAGACGTATACCAAAAGTTTTAGTGAATACAAGTACAAAGTAGAAGCCTTTATTGCCAAGTTCAAAATATTGGATACATGTATCGGACGCTCAAATCGAAATTTGATATTAAAATTCAATAGAATTTCCTGATTTGGCGATTGAGTGATTTTAGTTCTTAATACTCAAACAAATAAATTTAGTTCCATATTTTTGTGGCAGTACTGAACTTTTGAGCTCGATAGCATGAATTTAAAAAGAACAAAAGGAAAATTTGAAGTATTTGGCACAAAATAAAAGCAAATTGGAAAAACTATAGCTAAAATCAAAAGGTAAGATGCTGCTGTCGTGTCACTGGTAACATAATCACATAGTAATCACTAAAACAGCTGATGTAAGTAAATAATTCAACATTGCGACACAAAATTTCATGTTGCTTTCATTATATCAATTTTTCATGTCTAAGCCTTTCCTTTTTTTAATTTAAATAGTTATTAATTAAAAATCAAATTTTATCATTCATCATTTTAAATCAAATAAACTAAATTTAACATGTATAAAAGTTGTCGTAAAATTCAGCACTGAGCAATCATAACATTTGTATTGAAACATAATAGTGGAGTGTTACAGTAACACCTCAGCAGCACTTACATAATGTTTCATTTTATGTTTACTTCTTAATTTCACCCCATTTTCGAATTTTTTCACTAACGTCGAAATCATCAACAAACATACACTTTTTTCGAATTCTAATTTCCAATATTTTTTTATAATCCTATCTGATATAACTAAAATATTCGAGCAATTTACTCTTTTGAATATTAAAAGTAATGTTAAAAATTTTAGTGTTTGTCCCTCGAATTTCCTCAATGCGGGATGCTGAATTGTTGAAAAACCATTCATAAAAATTTTTTCTATTTTCTAAATACAAAATTAGCGCATGTTCACAGCATTCACATGCCCAAATTTTTTTCTTTTTATACGATATTAGAAGCGAAAATACAAATTTGTTATGCTTTCATTTTTGAAAATTTTTATATTTACACAGAAATTATATATATATATGTATGTATACATATATGTATATAAAACGGAAATTTAAGAAAGTTTCAGATTATATCACGAAATTTTATCGTGTATTATGAAATTTTTTTTGCATTAATTCATGTAAATGTATAGTTGTATAATACTTGCTTACATTCATATACATTATAATACTTATATAAGTAGTTGTGTTTTATTGCGAATCCTTGAAATCAAGAAAAAAGAAAAGAAAATCATTTTGATTTTAATTTAATTTTTCATTTCTTTTTCTTATTGCATACCGCATCACACCGCACCAAACCGTATAGCACGGCATATATGGAAAAGATTAATGAAATAATCAATAGTCTTGGATTTAACGTAAAATCTATCCAAAATTTTTATATTTTTGTACCAACTTAAGTTCAAGGGCATGTGGTATTTTTTTTTTTCTGTTTGGTTTTGAAAATCAAAAGAACGAAAATTTTTTTTTTAATTAAATTAAATTAATTATTTATTTTTATATTTTTCTGTTTGTTTATCTAAATTTATACCAGTAATATTATTAAAAATAAAATAAAAAAGGACATTAAAAATTAAAAAAATATTTTTTTAAATCAAATAAAAATAGTTGAAATTTTATTGCAACAATAAAGGTGCTTTACTACTGAACAACCGTATAACTAAAAACATAATTTGAACCCATTAAATATCACGATATTAAAATAGAATGTTGCATTTATTATAAACACTTAGTCTAATATACAATTGCGGTATATATGCTACGTCATTATGGTATGGCACTTGATAGCGTGTGTAAAAGAAAAATAAAGAAAGAAACAAATTAATATTACCGACATTAATATTAAAATGTCGTCTACATGGCTATATAAGAGGCTATTATACTTTTATAATATATACACTATTATTATATTGGTACATACATACAAACATTTTGATATTAAGACTGTAAACCGCATGGCCACAAAAAGTATTTATAAATTCGATTAATTTTTTCATTTTCTTTTTGCTTCTTATTTTCTTATTTTCTTCCAATTATTGATTTTTCTATACAATGGATTATCCAATTTTGGATTTCCGACTCGTAGATTGAAGCTATAGGTAGCTAGATCTACTGTATTATAACTTTATGAATAAGTACGTTTGTACTTTTATTCTTTGTTCTTTTAAATGTCATCCATAATAATAATATTGAAAATGATAATTATTTGTATCGGTCTCATTTACTATTGTACTATTATTTGAATTATTGTACCTATAGTTTAATTCATTCATTGTTATTCTTTCATTCTTCTGGACGTTAATTGTAGTAACAAGAGATTGTTGAATATACAAATTGTTGCTTAAAGATAGAGGTCTTGAGTGATGAAGGTTTTTTTGCTTAAAAAGGCCGCAAAATTGTTAAAAAAATATCAAAAGTTTTGGAGATATCAAAAAATTTTCAAAAAATAAAAGTTTATTCAGTGTGGCAACATCTTTTTTTAATAGAGCTGAGTTTCTTGTTCCTCAAAATTTGACGTTCTACAAAATATTCTACAAGTACTTACACAACCATTTTTATCTCTCTCTCAAAATTTTGATTCAACTTTAGTTTGGAAATGAGTAAAATTTTTGTAAAATATGCTTGCAAATATTTTTATTTACACATAAACAAAAAATTATACAGAGATCTTTTGTTAGAGAACTCAGTTTGACTTAAATACAACAAAGCTATGAAGGTAGAGCAATGAAAATTTTAAAGTTTTTCTTTTTTAAGTTTTTTCAAAGTTTTATTTGTTTATTTTATAAAGTATTTTATAAATACCCAATTCAAATGTTATTTTTTCCTGTATTCCGGAGTGTTTCTTACAAAAGCACCAGAAAAAATACAAATCCCATAATTAAGTACTGCAATAAAACTCAAATTTTTACCGATCAAAAGCTCTACCGACACTTTTCCATACAGTATCTCTTTTAAATCCTGAATTTCACAGGTAAGGTAAACTTGAACCTTTCTTTGTAATTATTTTGTAATAATTTCATTTTTGATATATTTGCACATACATATTTATTAACATAGAATTTTTTTTCTGAATTCCGAGATAAAGTATTGTTAATATTGTTTTTTCTAAGGGGGGCCGGGGCCTTCGTGTCCCTTCTTATTTCAACGCATAGGATCTCTTGTGATTCGTAATCCAGTTACATGGGCACTATTCCTAGGCCCTTTAGCAATCTCAGTATTAAATCCGCTTGCAGTCGTGAGACCTTCGAAGGGATCACATAACACTGACGAAAACACTTGGACCTTAGCCGGGTCAATGCTTCACACTTGCTTAGCAGATGTCCTGCCGCCTCTTTTTGTTCTGCACAAACTACGGAGCTCACTCCTCACCCTATCCATCCTTTTCAGATAGACCATGGTGAGACAAAGTCTAGTGAAGAGATCAACCACCGGCCTCAAGTCTGGCCGATTCAACCAGACAGACTTTCTTCTCTCCTTCATGGGGCTCCACGAAGATTTTGGAATGCGCCATTCCTGGGCAACGATTCAATTAGTCATTCTTAATCTCGCCAATCCAGCCATCTAGGTTCCGGTCCAACAAATAGAGTTGCCGCCCCTACGATCCATCAGTCTTCTCGTTCCCTTTCTTCGAAATTCTTCGATATTCGATATAGCCATCCAACTTCTCTATAATTTTTTTAAATAATTTATTCGAAATAAAAGTATGTAGATACTAAAATTTTGAATATGAATTGTTCAATGGGGGCAACAATAAATTCTATGTAATATTGAAATATTGATACCAAATATAGAAAATTATATTTTCATATTGAGATGAGAATTTATTTACAAATTGGTTCCATAATAGTCCTAGCTTATGCATTTTATAAAACTGAAATAAATTTAGATTTATCCTTTTTTTTTAAGGTAAATAACAACTCATGTTTTATTCAATATTTAGATAAAAATTTTCTTTCCAAATTAAAATTTTATAATTAAAAAATAATTAAGGAAATGATGCCGGATTAAGTAAACCGGAACTGAAAAATTCAGTTTCCGTTTTTTTTGAACAGGAATTCATTGATTTCATTTGTTTTACGTTTTTTCTTTTTTTGTGATTTTACTCAATTTAAAATATTGTTCATACTCAAATGCAAATACCTACTATTGCAATATTACAGAATTGAAGGTAATAAAGGGTGCATTGGTAGTATATAAAGGATATCGGTGCTATATTGGTACTATTTATCTATATATATATACATATAATATACTTGGATCGTGCAGAAATAAAAATTGTGAAAATAAAAAGCTTTACAACTTTTAATCGCACAAATATTTATGAAGAATTCCAATATAAAAAGAAATTAATTTAGTATGAAGAAAAAAACACCCAAAACCACAAAACTGCAATAGTTGAATGACTCGTTGTGAATAAACATAAAATATAAATTTATATAAAGTTTTATCTAAAAAGGACCTCACCTTAAAATAGTATAGAGAAAAAAAATAATATAAAAAATGAATTTAATTAATCCCAATGGGGGAGAAAAATTTTTGTTTCCCATTTTTTTTCTACACTCCGATTTCGCCCTTCTCTTATGTTGTACAGCTACATTTCTTTTTAATTTATTTCATTTTTAAATCTTTCTTTTTTTCATTTTAGGGTCAAACAGAAAGTAAAAAAAAATCAAAAAATATCGGTCCCGATACAAAGGGTACTGCGATGTCATTTGGATTTCGTAAAAAACTTAATAATACACCAAAGAAACAAAAATTTCTAAAGGATAAACATAATATAAAGGATAATTGCAATAATAGTGATAATGTTGCTACCGATGGAACAATAATAACAAATCCTGTACTAAAAGATGATTTAAATAATTTTCATGATAAAAATGGTAATTCAGGTGAGTTTATAATTTATGAATTTCGAAAAAATTCTGAACAAAAATTTAATTAGGTTAAAAGTTTTTATTTTCTATTCTGTTTTGAAAAATATCTTTATGAAAGTGAGTCCTAAATAAATGAATAATAAATTTGAAAATTCGAAATTTGATTCATTTCCAAGTGCTATTTGCAGATTACAAGAGGATTCGTTCTATTAACTACAAAGTTTGTAAAGTTTAAATGTTGTTGTTTAGTTTGGTTCTTAGAGAACCGCGCTTGTAATGAAATCTTAAATTAAGAATCATGACTTGATTTACATTAATCGGCCAAATTATTTTTTTTCCCGAATAGTGCTCTTGCTAACAATTTTTATAAGAAAACTCATTTACAAAAAAGCTTTAGAACGATAACCTGTACAGCTTCCGAAATATAATAAATAAATTAGTTTTAGAGCAGTACGCTCTAGACTAAGTGAAACAAATTTTATCAAAAAGTCGTTTTAGCTAAAATATGAACACAATAGCCTTTATAGTCTCAGATATGAAAATTTTATGAAATTTTTATAAGGATGCTCTAATATAATAATATATGCTTTTACGATAGACTTCTAACCTTTAGCGTTTCAACTGCCTTGCTTAGCATTGTTAAATTTGTCTATCTCAGAATATTTGCCAGAATTTTATTGTTCAATCAACAACGCTTTCGGAAATGCTTCCTCAAATTTGAACTTTACTGCAACAAACCAAAATCTTCTATATCTACCAATCCAAGTTTTCGTTAAAACAGTTATGTAATACACAATTTTCTCCAAAAGTTTTTATAAACTTCTTGGACAATATGCTATCTTCTAAAAGTTGTAAGAAATTTTCATTTAAAATTTCACGGCATTCACAATGAAAAACTTTCCATTCCGTAAGGCTGTACCATAATGTATGGTGTTTGTTATTCAATTCCTATTAGTTTTCCAATTCAAAATCCCATGAACATGGTCAATTCAGTTCAACCATTAAAGTCAAAATTTCATTCATTCATTTTCATTCTTATTGTATGGTATAATTCATTCTTAATGAATCTTTAAGGACTTAAAGTGCTCAAACTCAATACATAAAAATTCACATAATTCACTTCTTTTAAAATTTATCTCCAATTCGTCTTTTATTTTACAATAAAACTTAATATTTTCAAATTATTCAACTCTTAAGTAAATCCAACAAAAACGTACACTGAAAGAAAAAAATTTTAAGCGAAATGAATAAATAAATTTTGTGGTTAAAATTTGTTGCCAAAAAAATATTTTGGCACGTTCTGTTTTCAACTTGTAATAAAAAATTTTAAATTTCCAATGGAAAAAGAAAACGAAAACAGCGACAAAAATAAAACAAATAATGCGATAATAAGAAAATGTTAAAAAAATTAAACAAGTAAAAATGCTTGAGACGATTTAAACCGATTATACCCTACACCTTGACAATGTGAAAATAAAAAGTTATTTTTAAAATATTTAGCATTAGTTGTGAGGCAGTTACTGTAAAACCTCTAAAATCATTCAAAAAAAATTTCTAGTATATGCGTGACCTATAATTGAACACATGACTGTCAAGTCTCAAGAATCATCAAATTTATTCTCATCGAATATTTAAGATTAACTTTAATCGTCCTTGGCAGAAAAGAAACAATTTATGAAAATTTGGCGAAGTTATTATTATTCGTTTTTGAGATATCGTACGAACAGCCGGACGAACATATCGGACGAATGAAAAGACTTGTCCAGATCAACGCCGAATTTTATGCTGAGCAGAATATAGATAACAACCGAAACGATTACGATTATTACCAAAATTATTTCCACCACCATTACCGGCACCACTTCCATTGACGTTACCGCCACCCATTAAACTGATGTGCTCTTTATTTTGTGATAATTGTGTAGCTGTTCGATGAGTTGCCCAAGTAGTTTCATTTTTATCAAATGTATTCTTAATTGTTGTAGAATTAAATTTTTGTTGCGTTGCTGTAATATTTGTTGTTGCATTAATAGTATCTTAAAAGAAAATAATATTATGAAAAATAACAAACAACTCCTTCAAGTGGTTACAAACTCTATTGTAAAGTTAATATATACCCTTCGCGAAGGGGTAGGGTATAAAAAGAAAATATAGAAAAACTTATTTCTCAGCATTTCGAAATTAATCTAAAGTACAAACATTTTATTAAGCGATACAATAAAAATTATGAAATAAATAATTCAAAGAATATAAAAATAAAAGAAACACGGTTATAAAGTTTCATAGTGCAGCAAAATTTTCTTATCTGTGAAAATGACGCAAAAATTTTCAAATAAAAAAAAATTGTGCAATATGTTTGATACTTAACCTAAATTTCGATAGTCTATTTTATATAAAAGATTCGTTAGTAAAAAATTTATAGGTTCTTCTTATTAAACAATGCAGGATACTTTTAATGTATGTCCTTATTTAAAAAATTTTTTTGTAATTTTTATCTTCTCCGAATTGTTAAAATGTTTGAATAGACAAATCTGTATTATGTACCTATGTATGTATATGCATGTCAGATTCAAATTTAGAATAATTGAGTTCATATGGGCGATAATTAGATTAATCTTAATTGCACCTTAAATATGGCGACTTAAATAGGGCGTAATATTTTCATATGTGTAAAATTTCATTTAGGTAAAAGAGGCGGTCATCTTCCACTCCACTAATTATTCGTACTTTTTTAGAACAATTTCAGTGAAATTTCTAACATCAATACTCGTATAGAAGCAATAAACTCAATTAATTATAACTAATATTTTAATTCTCTATAATGCATACAACAGTTGCTATAAAATAAACTTAATTATTTTACTAAAAATTCTGGGGTAGAGTTTTGTAGAATTACAAACTGATACGAACTGCTTCATACTATAAAACTAATTGCGACTGCAGTTCTGTCCTTTACTGTTATATTGACTAAACCGTGATATATCCATTATCATATTTCCTAATTTGGCATGTAAAACATTATGAATGTAATATAAATTAAATCGTAGGGTAGTGCCTTATAAAATTACGAAAGTCCCATAGAGCGTTAAAATTTTAATTGTCTTTAATTAATAATAACCTTTATTAACAATAATGCCTTCAATTAATAATAACCTAATTTTTAAAACAAAAATTAAAACGAACAATTCGCAGAGAAAACTAATACAGTGCTTAAATATATAAAAAACAAGTAAAAACGTTTCAGTCGGTATAAACCGATTGAATTATACCCTGCACTTTTCGTTATTGTGTAGCAATTACTTGAACCTCTGAAATCATTCTATAGAAACTTCTCGGACGTGTCTGACCTATAATTGGACATCCGACTGCCCAGTTTCATGAATCTGACCTTATAATTTTTCCAAATATTTAAAATTAACTTTTGGAGTTGTATGGTAAGTACCTGAACCTGTCAAGCAATTCTACTAAAACTTCACAAATATATCTGATCTATAATCGGACACACAACTGCCAAGTTTCATGAATCTGACTTTATTATTTTTCCAAATGTTAAGAATTAGCTTTTGGAGTTGTATGGCAAGTACCCGAACCTGTCAAGCAATCGCACCAAAACTTTAGAAATATGTGTGACCTATAATTGGACACACGACTGCCAAGTCTAATGAATTTGACTTCATTATTTTTCCAAATATTTAAAATAAGCTTTTAGACTTGTATGGGAGCTACTCGAACCTGTCAAGCAATTCCACCAAAACTTCAGAAATATATTTGAGCCATAATTGGACACATGACTGCCAAGTTTCATGAATCTGACTTTATTATTTTTCCAAATATTTAAAATTAGCTTCTGGAGTTGTATGGCAGGTACCCGAACCTGTCAAGCGATTCCTCTAAAACTTCAGAAATATATTTGATCTATAATTGGACACATGACTGCCAAGTTTCATGAATCTGACTTTATTATTTTTCCGAATATAAAAAATTTGCTGTTGGAGTTGTATGACAGCCACCCGAACCGGTGCAGCTATCCCATTATAATTTTTAGAGCATATGTAGAATGTAATTGGACACATGTATACAAAATTTTATATTTATAGCCTTATTAGTTTTTGAAATATTTAAAATAAACTCTTGGAGTTGTATGGCAGCTACCCGAACCCGTTGTCCGACTTAGTCCAATAACAATAGGGTTCGTCCTTGGCACAAAAGAAAAAACTTGTGAAAGTTTGGTGTCGATTGCATTATTCGTTTTTGAGTTATCGTGCGATCGGACGGACGGACGGACGGACGGACGGACGGACGGACGGACGGACGGACGGACGGACGGACGGACGGACGGACATGTCTAAATCGACGCAGAATTTTACGCTGAGCAAGAATATATATATATGTCCATACCGCAGATGACTCCTTCAAGTAGTTACAAACTCCATACCAAAGTTAATATACCCTTCACGAAGTGCAGGGTATAATAATGTGAAAATAGGTGCTAATATCTGCCTTTAACCATCCTATAACTTCAATAATATTTCCCTGTTCTCATATTTTTTTGTTTTTTTTTGCTATAATTTTCATTTAAATATGGTAAAAGAAAATGTATGCGTCACTAAAAAATTTTCACTATAAACAGCTCATCATGAAAAAATTTATGCTGACCAAAAGAACATATTAAGAATATGAAAACCGATAAAAAAAGAAAACTTAAAACACTAAACTTAAAAAAAAAATCATGCGTTTTCATATTTTTACATTTTCACTTTTATACAATGAAAAATCTTTCACAAATTTTCCAAAAATATATTAAAGGCAAAAAATTACAGCAGGCAATTTTGTTTCTTCTTTGTAATTTCCATGGACGGAAAACGTTCGTTTCAGAAATATTTTAAATACTCTTTGAATTTTTTTTATTACTTATCTTTTCCACTATTTTTTTCAAATTTCTTTTAATTGATCGTGTTGTGGAATGGTCAAAAATAGATTTTCAAGAAGAAGAAAAATGTGAAACGCGCAACGTACACAGTTTTTCTTAATTTCTATTTTTCCTGCAATAATTTTTTTTTTACTATAACACTTCATTTCTTATCTGTAATTTTCAGTGATTCTATTTAGAAAACCACTTAAGCTCATATCTTAATTTTTATATATAAATAATTTTCCCTTTAAAAATATTTTTAATTTGTTTATATTCTATAGTATTTGTGTGTGTGTGTGTACAAGTATACATATATAATATTATCTATTCAATATTTTTATTTTTTTGAATTTCCATTCATTTTTCATAATATTATTTTCTTTTAAGATACTATTGATGCAACAACAAATATTACAGCAACGCAACAAAAATTTAATTCTACAACAATTAAGAATACATTTGATAAAAATGAAACTACTTGGGCAACTCATCGAACAGCTACACAATTATCACAAAATAAAGAGCACATCAGTTTAATGGGTGGCGGTAACGTTAATGGAAGTGGTGGCGGTAGTGGTGGTGGAAATAATTTTGGTAATAATCGTAATCGTTTCGGTTTTCGTTCAGCTAATATAATACGTCCAGCATCAACTGGTATTCCAGCACCAAGTATTATGACAGAATTACAGGATAATACAAATAATAATAACAATAATAATAATAGTAACAATAATACCGTTACAGGTAATTGTTCAAAATTTTTAAAATTTTTCAAAATAGCTACATTCATTTTTTCCAAAAAAAAAAAACAAAGTATGTGTTTATTATTAATTTGAAATATTTAGAGAAGAAGAAGAAAAAATAAACAATTTGGTGGGCTATTGTGAAATTTTAATTTATTTGAAAAATTTTTGTTAAAATTATTTTAAAACAAGTATTAGCTATGTTAAGAATTCTAAAAATTAATATTTTTTCATTGTCACTTGTTGTGGCCTACTTTAAACTTAAAAGAATGTGTGTACACATGTATGTAAATAATAATAATATTTAAGTAAAAATATTTTCATATTTATGTTAAATTTTGTTACGACTACAATATTTTTAAATTCACGCATGTTAATGTACATATACATATATGTATATAAATACCTACAAATGTGTATATAAAGAACTCATCTAGTTATTTAATTATAATATTATGTGCTTGCCAATAGCAGAACTATTAGCTCTAATTTATTACAGTGATATCAAAATTACAAAAGTGTTTTGCCTTGGCAATTTATTTTTAAACTTCTCCATGTAAAAATTTCATTACTGGTCTTACTGTTGCCTAAATGTTTATGTATGTATGTATTTACATGCAAGAAATTTTTGATAAAAAATTTAAGTTTTAACTGTGAGTACCTACCTAGCGTACAAAATTGGTAGCAAAACAATTATAATTTAAACTGTTAATATTCTAGATATTCTAGATCTGGCATCTAGTTATTGATATGGCATCTCGATTGTTAAATTCACTCTTAAAATTACCATAAGTAAATCGTATAATGCATCAGCATAAGCCCAAGATATAATGATTTCTTTCTAATATTTTTTAATGCAGTTTACAAATATGAGGCATTGCTCTTAAATGTGATAATTATTGTAAGCACAAATTCAAAATTACTAGCACAAATTTTTTCCATGTTTTCAACGCATAGTACTTATTGACATACATCAAATACTTTTGCTTACAATTTAGCTTACTTTTGGCCCTTTTTCAGTTGAATGACTGATTTGCGGTAGATATCTTCCTAAAATATAAACATTTTAATTTCTATACTAATTTAGTCTTGAGTGTTTTTCGGAAATACACACAAATTTCATAATTTTACAAAGCAAATCAACATTTCAACATTTCATTAAAAATTTGTTGTTCAAATGATCCCATTTTCAATTCAATCAATCAATTGTTCATCTTGTTTTAGCACTATGATCACCTCGGAGGGACTTCTTGTTTTCTTTTTTAATTTGATTCATCGCTTATATTTTATAAGTATTCATTAAAACCAATTAATCTTTTAAAATTCTGAAAATAATTTTATGCTATACGAATGTAGATGTTGTGCCATATTTGGCGCCATTTAGTCTTTGGAATTTTTTGTCATTTCAAATGAAATAACATCAAAGTTGTTTTTTTTTATTTCAGTCAGCATTTATTTCCTTGAAATATTTTTTTAATCCAATATATTTTCTGAATTATTTATTTATTTCACTTATGTAGCAATGTTTATTTCTTCTTCATCGCTTTAGATTTTTTTTTATGTGCATTCACCTACAAAATTTCACCTGATTCTTATTATATACTGCATTCAGTGGGCCAATGATTTTCTTAAAAATTTATGCTGAACGTAATAATGTTGAAATAAAATAAACAAAATTTGAAAATAAAAAATTTTTATTTTTTTTTTTTCAAAATGAAAATCTAATTTTAACTCAAAATAAGTTCAAAAACTTTCAAATTTCTTTTTTCAATCATCTGTACGTACAAAATTCCAAGTAAAATAAAAAATAAAATTTTACATCTACTTTGTACAAATGATTTATGCATTTTCTTTTTTTTTTTAATTTTTTATTCCTTTTTATCTAAAATACATTTTATTTTTATGTTAATTATTTCCCGATCATTCATCAACATCAAACTGTTCAAATGGACTAGTTAAGAGACGGTCAAAGAGTGCATCAGGCGTTAGTAGTAGCCGTGAGAACAGCTACAGTTCTGATAATGAAAAGAATAATAGAAATAACAACGGCGGTGTTGGTGGTATTGGTAATGTAGCTGGTGGTAATATAATTACAAAACGTTCAACACTAGTGAATCGTAACAATGATCAACAACAACAGCAACAAAAAGTTGTTAATGAAGTACGTTTTGCTGAAAACCCAAAAATAAATTATATAACATCAGTTCATGATATCGATGATGAATACAATTCACGTCCGCATTGGAAACAACAAAATGATATTCGTAGATCAGGTGGTATGACTTCGGAAATGTTAAGAAATCAGTTTTTTAATAGCGGTTGTAATGCACCGATGTCATCTGGCATGATGAATAGACATGGTAATATGATGAATCAAAATCAAATTATAACGACTGGAATGCACACAAATGTTATGTAAGTAAAAAAGAAAAACAAATATGAAAAAGCTGCTTAAAGAAAATATTTATATTTTAATTTTAGTGTGAAACCAAAACCTATTATGACAACAACAACAGTAACAGCATGTAAATATACATTGCACACAGCTAGTCTACCAAAACCACAATATCCAGTGCCAATAAGTTTAACAACAACTGCACCATCATCATCGTCATCAATGGACATAAAAAGTGCTAAACAAATGGTAAATAATAATCGTAAAGGTGTTTTTGGACCACGGGATATATCGACTGATTCAGGTTTATCGAGTATGGATAATACAATTGATAGTAGTAATGCATCTCGATCATCTGTCTTAAGATCAATATCATCAACTAAAGCTTCTGCATCTGGTACTTCAAGTAATGGTGGTTCTCCTAAGAAATTATCAAAAAATCGACCAAGAAATTTAGAAATGGTTATAAGCGGACGACATAAATTTGAAGTTCGAGATTTAGATGCTTTAAGTTCATGTGACAATGTTGAACCATTGGCTCTACCGAAATTACCAAGTGTTTTTTCATCTGAAAATCAACAGTTAGCTCCCTTGAGTGGATTAGTACGAAGTAATACAATTTTAAGTCGAGATTCAGCATCGACAACACAAGGTTATCTTCAACTTATTAATACTGAATATACAGTTTTATAAGGTTTTATTTTATAATTTTTAGAATCTACACCGGAAGACATGAGGAAGACGTCTAGAACAAATTCAGAAAGTGACAGTATAAATGAAGAAAAACTATTTAGAGATAGATCAACTGCGGAGAAAGACACAAATAAAGTGAGTCGTCATTTGAAACTAAATTAATCAAAGTTTTAAATCATTGTTATAATCACTAAAAAGAAAATATTGTTATAATGGATTTTTTTCCAATAATTATTTGTAACACAATATTTAGCTTACTAAAAGAAAATGATAAAGTACATCTGTATACCACTAATAATTGGTAGCAGTAATGGTAGCACATATTGTATTTTTCTTTAAGTGCACATTTTAATCAACTTTACATTATATAGTCGTTCTAACTGCGAACTATTTCTAATTACCATCTAATCTGTTTATTTAGAAAAAATTTTCTTTTTTAGAACTCCACAATCGGATTAACCTCAAGTAAAAATTCATCTCCAGCAAGTTCTAGAGCATCGTGGTGTCAAGCCGGTGAATCATTAGCAATTAAAGATTGTAGTAGTTTAAGTATAAGTAGCAGTGATGATAGCAAAGATAATCATTTAGGAAAGACATTTACAATACAAACAGAAGAAATTAGCTCAATAACATTTGATGAAAAGCCAAGTATTTTTTGTACGTATTAAATCTTTCAAATTTATTATCTATGTTATTAAATGCTTGCAATTATTATGGTGTATATCTCCTGTGTCCTATAACGCGAATGTGGTACACAACTTAAATTGATATATTTTAAAGTTTATCTCTTTAATCTTATCTAAAATATTTTCCAATGACATCCACTTAACTTATTTTAAGTATTGCACGTTTAAATCTCAAACCAATTTCTGGTTGGTACTATTATAACACTAATGTCAAATTTAATCATAATATAATATTCCCACTGAATCCATAGTTCATGTAAGCACTGTATTCTTTATCACTTTTAATATGAATGTTATAAAAATTAATATTTATTTCCCTTTTTAGCTTCACTAACAGATTCTAGTGCCATTTTTCCAAAAGTATCAAAAAATTATGCACTAAATAATAATGATGAAAACATAGTTGATAATAAATTCGATTTCTTAATTAGCGATTTTGAGGCACAAACTAAACAAAATCAAAATGAGGAACAAAATTTACAGGAAAAACAATTCGAAAGACCAAAATCTATAACAAAAGATGTTGGTGATCCAATTAAATTTGCTGAAATGGCAGCAGCTGTAAGCGATGTCCTCTTAGATGATGAAACATCACCAACTGATAGCTTAGTTAGTAGTACAGAATCTGAAGAAGCAATGCTAAAGAAAACTAAAAAGAAAACAAATGAAGAACTTCCAGAAAAAGATATTGATGAAATTTCACCAGAATTAGATCCATGTAGTCCATTATCACCTGGAACACCAACGCATGCATCTAATTCATTGTCATTATCAGATATTGGGAAAGATTTTTTAATTGATGATGAAATTGCTGATCAACCAGCATTGTTATTTAGCGATAAGAAAAATGATACAATTGAAGGTGGGCAACATACAACAAATTCTATGACAGATACAACTCCAACATTAATGGAATCAATTGGAAATAATGCTGTTTCACAAAGATCAACCAAAAGTAATTCGAAATCAAGAAATTTAATGCAAGCTGCTATTGAATTAAGTTTAAGAACACCGATTTCATTAAGAAAAGCAACAATGTTAAGTAAAGCAGAATCTTGGGATACATTATCACCATGTGAATCGATTGCATCAGATGATTTAATGATGGATTTTGAAACAAGTAGTATGGATTCAATTGATAGGTAGATTATTCCGTTTAATATTACGTTTAAAATTTTGCAAGCTGTCTCTATCGTTATGTTTTTCTTTTAGAGTTTCACAATCCATTAAAGGTGTAAATGCATCTGCATTAAAAGCATTTGATGATGCAGAACTATTAGCTGAATTTGAGACGAAAGGCGATGAAATGATTCGCGAATGGAATAATATATTACGAGTTCATAGAACTGGAAAAGACAGTATTATGTAAGTGCAATATTTTATTTGAAATAAATTCAATCAATTTTAGCTTAAATCTAACGACGTTCCATGTTTATAAAAAAATTATAACAAAAGTATTTAATTATTTGTAACAGTGAAACATTAATTTGAAACATATTCTGAACAAAGTGCAATTTTTAATGATTGAAAACATTTTTGAGCATGAAAATACGGTTACACTTTTTATTATTCCTGTGGGTTCATTAGATCTTCATTTACTGTTTTTATATCTCAAAACATCGGCAGAAGAAAAACATAATAAGTATTCAATGATGGACTAACTGCGGTTTTTACTGTTACTAAAATTGTTATGTTCTTCCGAATTTCTTAATTTCCGAATTCTCTTGAATTGGCAAAATTCGCAAACTTTTGACTTAATATGTAGCTTTTTTCGTCAATTTTGTTACGCAATAGCAATAGTTTCTAAAGGAAAATATTAAAATGAAATTGAATTCTTTTGAAAAATTTATGCACTTCTGTCATTATTTTTTGATTAGCCAGATTTTTTTCGAGTTCACTAAAAAATCTAGAAAATTCGCCATTCGTTATATTACAATGTCACATTCATCAGATTTCTTGGGGATTTCCCTAAGAAATTAACTGTTACCGGGAATATAATTTTAATTGCTAAAAACTCGTTAGATTTGCATTTAGGTGTTTGTCTTAAAGAGCTGTTTATTTTGTCAAATGCTGCACCTGGATTAAATTTTTCATACATTTATTTTAATTTTATAGCCTTTGTTATGTGTCTCAACCCTAAAAATCTAAGGTTTTTAAACGAATTTTATTATAATAATAATAATTTTTTTCTCAACAAATTCGAGTGTAATTCAAGTTGCCATTATTAGCGATTATCCGATACGATTTATCTAATATACATACATACATATGTATATGCATAATGCATGTAATACAATTTTTGATTATTAATTATTTGCCTTTCGTGACATATGTACCTATTATGTAATTTTTTATTTAAACCGTATTGGAATAAAGAGTATTTAATTTATCAATTAGCTAATACATACATAATGTACATATGTATATATTTATACTTAAAAAGAATTTCAAAGAATTGAACATACATTGTATAAAAATATTCTATTCATAATTAGTGTATACACGTAAATGATATTACGTGGACTAAATTTCAATAAGTCGTAGAACGTTTTATTTTTTAATATACCTACATATAATAATGATTATCCTATACATTAGCTCTTTTGTATATTTGGCATTTGGTGCATCCTAACTTAATCTAAATCTTTCCATTTAAAATAATTAAATAGGTGTATATTTTAGTTTCATTTTGTTTTATCACAATTCTATAATATTATATTTACATACAAATCATATGTTAATGTAGGAAAAGAATGTTAATCGAAATTTAAGTAAGCAATAATGTACTGTACATAAAACACTATAGAAGTATACAAATAAGTACTTGACTCGTTTTATAACAAGAAACCAGTGTATACGACTTCCTCTTGAAAAAAAAACAAATGAAAAACAATAGAAAAAGAAGAAAAATACTTAAAATATGCGGAATAATGACGTACACACTCTTAATCAAAACAAGAAATCAAAAGCAAAAAACAAGAACATCAAAATAAAAATGAATCAAAACAAAAATAGCGGCACATAACCAGCTGTTTATGTAAAATGAAAAAGAAATAATTTGCTGAATACAACAGCTGAATGTTGTTGATATACCATCGCCATCGTTGAGCACTTTCAATGAATACAAATTCAATAAACAACAAAATAGAATAGGTAGAAAGAAAAGGGGAAATTGAAATTACTGTAAAAACTGGTTCTGAACTTTGATAATTGTTGAAATTTTCACCATAATAATTTTTATCTTGTGTAGTAGATAAGTAAACGGTATTATTAATTTGTGATTAATCGCATCGGATTTAAAAAAAAGAACTATATATATTGGTTATATTGTGAATATTGATGTATGTATGTATGTACGTTATGTGTTTCATGTTGAAATTTAAGTGAATATTAGCAAAACAAAGCAAAGTACATAATGCATGTACGTACTTACATAATAATATATGCATTCGTAAGCATATTATGATATTATTGTATTTGATTGTATAATTACTTCAAATACGTATTTCAAATCCTTCGTTATTTAAGCGAAAATAGAAAATTAATTCTAATTATAATAAGTTTTCCGAAAAAAGGTTAAGAAATTTTTTTTATAAGAAGTTATAAGTTTAATTTTACGACCACCACCTTAATTTATTCATAACAATTAATTTGCATTAAAAATTGTAGGTACACACACGGATCTATTTTATATACACGTACATCAATTATTTTTTTGCAAAGAGCTTTCGTATATTAAATTAGAACGCAATAAAAGTGTGTTATACGATCATTTCAAATTTTCAAAAAATTTGTTTCGTTCTTAGCAATATGTATAACTAATGCAATTTGTAACAACTGTGCAGACACTTTAAAAAATTTACGGAATTTTTTGTTACAATTTACAATTACTCTGGATTCTCAAAACAGGAGCCAATAATATTTGCAAAGTTGAGTTAGTAAAAATCAGTCGAACCGGTAATAATAGTTGAATTCGCGTTCGAAATTCTAGAAAAGATCTGCAACGGCAGCAAGTTTTTGTAGTTTTCTACAAAAGGCATCCTATTTTTGTTGGTAGGACCGCAAAAGATCTTCTGTCAAATCGATATCATAAAGTTTTTTTCTGCTTTTATATTCACACATAACCTCAATTAGTAAAGAATATAAATCGAACTTTTTGACACCAGAATTTTTGTTGGCAGCCCTACTTCAATAGTTCTATTGCAATACAGTTTCAACTAACAAGATTTCTGGCAGTCAGAACTGTAAATGTGAATTCAACCAATGTTATCTGATTAAAATTCTTATTCCTTATTTTTTGGCTAAATTTTCTGTCAATTTTATAATTTTTAATTTTACTAAAGGTTTTTAAATTTTTTTTAAATCTCTTAAATATTTTTAACTGTCTTAATAAATAATTTAGTTTTCTGTTATACTCCAAGAATTTTCGAATTCAAGTGAATCTTAAACTACCTTGAAACTGGCATATTATTATAAAAACATGAATTGAATCAAGAATTCGTTTACAATATCGAGATGTTATGTAAATTTTAGTAAAATTTTTGCACTATTAAAAATTTTCTCGCTGAATTCGTATTATAATAAAGTCATAATATGTAAGCAACAATATAAGCTTTGCGTACCGTTATTTTACATATCTACATACTTAAATAAAATAGAATGTTAAATTACTAGTGTAAGAAAGGTTTACATAAGTATGTAGCTACAAAATTAATTATTTAATCATGAATATTTGAATATGGTATGCGATGCATAAATACATAATATGTATGTAATAGCTATGTACATATAAATTATATTATATACAAAATTGTATTTATGTAATGCTTATAATTATAAATTATTTTTTCGTTTTTTTTTTATTTTTCCTCCGTTCGTTCATTCGATTCATTATTATTATTATTATTATTATTATTATTATTATTATTATTATTATTATTATTATTATGTATGGAAGTACATGATATACCGTTTTAATTAGTTCCACCGTTTCGATATTTTACTTTGGAATGTTAAAATACCTACTTTTCTAACATGTTTATTGTTATTTTTATTTGTTTAGTTTTTTTTTATATTTTTCAAAAACTTCATCTAAAAAAATTTCGTCAAAAATGGAAAGAACCACTTATGTGAAAAATATTTAATTATAATTTTCAATTAGATATATGTATGTATATGCACAAACATAATAATAATGTAGCTTACCTTACAGGTAAACTAATAATAATAAATAAAATATAAAAGATTTTTCTTTAAAATATCATAAAAATAATAGATGAATTGTGCATTTTGTAGGTTGTTTGTGTTGTTGTTGTTTGCTGTTATTGTTGCTGCTGTTATTGTTGTTTTTCTTATGTTTGCCTTCTCTTTATACATTTATTTCGCTTTATTATTATTTTTTCTTTTCTCATTTTTATCGTTAGCAATTTCTGTTGTAATTTTTCTTGAAAATGCGGGGAATTTATGGGAAGCAAAAAAAAACAAAAATCAAAAACGAATATTTAAAAGTGTTTTGTTGCTTTTTACAAAGCAAATAAGAAAGGAAGAGAAGAAATGGGTACGCTGCGCTAGGTAGAGGCAGCAAGTTAAAAAAAAAACAACAAAACTATGAAAAAAGGTTTGAACAGAATTGTTTTGCATTTTACAAGTATTTTTTTTGGTTTGGTTTTTGGTCGGTTTTTTGTTGCTTGGGCTTGAATACCTGTTTTCCATCCACATGCTATATAACCTGCAGATATTTGAAATTTTTCTGCTATTGCTCTTTTTTTTTTTGCTTGGTTTTTCTTTACAAGATTAAATTATGGAAAATTATGGAATTAATAAAATTTAAATAGAGAATTTAACTTTTAAGTAAATAAAGAATATTGTTATACACAATAAATTGCATACGTGTACATTCATGTATAAAAGGTGGGAAGGAAGCAAAAAAAATTTTTTTTCATTAATCTCAAGTGAATGCAAAAATATGACAAACAAATGTTCTATAACATTAGACTAGAGTACAGATTATTAGATGAAAAAGAGACAGAGTAAGAGAAAGGTGAACTGTAATAATCTTACAATAATTTATAAAAAATTAAAATAAATAAATTTCTAAAAAAAAAATCAAGTTTAAAATTCAAACCATGAAAATATTTAATTTTAATGATCAAAAGGAAATATTGCTAAGAATTCATGAAAATGGAATGGCCTCGCCTAAAAATAATCCCGTAAAATAATAATTACATTTTATATTGTTATATAAAATATAATATAAAAGAATATGAAATTTTTGGCCAAAGCAATTTTTAAAATCTTTGCGTGAATAATAATTTTTTTTATAAAAAATTAAAGCAATTAAGAGTTGAACAGTGAATACTTTACTA